AATGGAACAGGAGCCAGAAGTATGGAGTATGTCCAGTTTCCAGTTCCTGAGCAGGGTGAAAATATCTGAAGAGCTCGTTTGCACTTTGGAAGAAAGTAGGTTTTACAGATGTGTCTCAAAAAGTAATTGCTCATAATATAATGGTCATTATGTTGGAAGTAATATAGTGAGTTATAAGTATTAAGGAGATTGCGAAAATATGTTCTAAAAGGGCCCTAAGCTGCGTTGAAAGTCACAAAAGCCTTAGTATGTTAGGTACCTATTTATAAAAGGTTCATGAGCAATGGCAGCAAGTGAGTACAGCTCTCTTGAGGTCATTTCAAAAACCGATAATCGAAAATTCCGATCCGATTTTCCTGAACACCAAAAGACGGAAATACTGCACTAGCAGCCAAAGATCTGTGGAACCAAGGAAACGTATCCAAACGCGGCTGAAAAGTAGAAGAAGTTCCTAAGCTATAGATATATATCCATCTTGAAATCCGTCCGCATTCAGGTGATCTGAAAAATCCAGCTGAAAGAACTGAAAAATGTCGAATCCGTTTTAAAAGTCATCCTTCTTTGGTTTCATCGGCCGAATATCCTGAATGGTGGTCTTCAATTGCATCCTAATACTCCCAGTTCGATTCAGGGAGAAGTCCTAAAATCCATGCTTGCTTATAACTAGGGTGGCCAGAAAAAAATCGATTTCATTTTGTTTTATACTTTTCAAATATATTTTGGTTTTTTTGTTGTTTTTGTTTCTTCGTTTGTTTCATATATTTATTGGCTAACTCTTTAAACTTTACTCTGTAGTTTTTGTTTTTACTTAATTCTTCTGTGTTTTTGTTTCTCCTTGTTTTAATTATATTATTAGTATACATATAAATAATTAAAAATATTACATTAAAATGTATTCGTATATCGTATAGAAGTTGCTGGTTGTTTTGTGTTGGATTTTTATTTTACTTTTCTCTTTTCTCTCAATTTTTGATTGCGTTTTCTCTCCTCCATTTCTCCATTTCTTTTAACATTTACTTTCATTTTACAATTTTGCTAAAAACTAAATAAAACGTTTCAGTTGTAAAAACAATAATAATAATAATAGGTATTAAAAAATGTATGCTCAAATTATGGTTAATTTATTTATTTATTTTATATTTTAAAAATAGTGAAAAGCAAAAAAGCGCCTTCTTTCGATTTTTAAAACATATTACGTATATATTTTGCATCATTTTTTAATCTTAGTTCTTTATTATTATTTTTACTTGTGTTATATTTTTATAAAATATCACCTAAAGCAATTACGTATTTCAGTTTCAGTATTTGTGTTTGTATTTTTAGTTTATTTTTACAATGCAACAATAAAAATTTTGCTTCTTTTTTTCATTTTTGTATTTTTTTGGTAGCAAAACATTTAATACAAAAATCATTAAAAATAATATTTAACGAAATGCAAAAAGCTCACACTAAACTCATAGGAAACAAAGTGTTCATCTTCGTATTTTCTCTCCTTTTTTGCAACAGTGTTTTGATTTGTTTTTAACTAAAAAGCGGCGAATTATGCTAACAGAAAAATTATTACATAATTACAGCGATCTTTCAAGTTTAATTTTAGTTTCTTACATACAAGTTTTTGTTTTTTTCTGGGTTTGAGACAAAGTACAACAACTAATTTTATTTTTTTTTTGTTGCAAATTTCTTTATAGTTTTGCAAGTGGTTTTCGTTTTGTAGTTTTGAAAAAATAGTACAAAAGCTTTTCACGTTGTTGTTGGTTTTTAGTAAGTTGGCTATAATAAACCGCTGGGAATCGGTTCGACTATAGCTAAGTATACAAATGACTGCCCATATAGCTGAGGAACTGCGATCGACTGTTCGCAGTTCGATTTAAGTACATTTTTTGTAGTTTGTTGGTTTAGTAGGTCTACAACTCAAAATAGTAGTAGAAATTAGCAGTAGAAAGTGTTTTGTTGGTTGGTTTTGGTAGCTAGAAGGGGGTTTGCTGCTAACGATTTTCGTATCTTGAGTTTCGATTGCAAACTTGGGTGTTCGCCTAGCATACAACTCCTAAGTGGACGAATTGGGGATTTCAGGGGTTTTGGGGATTTTGGGGCCTGACTAAGAACTATATAACGTACGCTATAGTATACAATGGGGGGAGAGGAGAGCGTGGGACCTCTAAGTTTCGCCACGGCTCTCTAATTCAATTAAATTACATTAGCTTTCTCCTTTTATGTTTATTTTATAATAGTAGTATCGCGTAGTTTTCGATTTGCTTTAGTAAATGCTTAAAGTTTGTTTAGTTTTTAGTTGTTGCTGTTGATTTACGTATATCATTGTTCTTGAAGGGTATCGGCTCATTTAAAATGTCGTTCGTATAGGCGCATTGCAATCCTCAATTAATTAAATTAACTTTAAGTTCTTATTTTGTTTTTGTTTCGATTTCAATTTTATTTAATAAACAATAAAGTTTTATTCGTATACTTTGCATTTGAACTCAGGTTGGGGTTTCTTTTCTGGTATCTCTTTTTACGTATATGCGTTGCATGTTGAGAGTTAAACAAAAAAGATCAACGAAAATAGTTAATATTCTCATTTAGTTTTTTCTTTTTTCTTTTTTTGCGATTATTTATTATTTGGCAAGTTCGCTCCAGTGTTGTAAAACACGAGGAGCGAAAAGGACGTTTTGTTTTTGAAAAATCGTATACACGTTTGCTAAAGTGAAAAATTCCCGAAAACATATAGACAAAAAAAAATTGAAAACTAAGCATAGAAAATATGTTTAGAAGTTTCTAGGAATTAACTATACTTTTAGCGTTTGCTCCTCTCTCTTTTACTTGCGAGTGAATTCTTTAAGCGCAGCCTAGACTTGACTTTAGTTACAAACTACATGGCTAAGCGTTATCTCTATATTAGATCGATTTTCAGTATATTCATGGAGAACTGCTGAGGGGGTCGAGGGGGAAAAGTCGAGGGGGGGAGGTGGACTAAAAGTCCGCCTCGTGTTTGATGCGATAACTGGCATAGGTCTCCTCCAGCGGTGAAAAGTCTTGGGTGCTGGGCTGTGATCATTTTCCAAGTAATTGGCACAGATTTACGTAAGAATTTTCGTAATATAGATAGAGAGAGATTTTAGAAATGTTGGGGTATACTCGTATACTCTGTGTGTCTGGTGTTTTTGTTTATCTGTTTTCTGTTTTCTGTATTTTATAGTTTAGCTTTTGTTTTTGTTTTTGGCTATGTCAGTGTCTGCTTGTTGTTGCTGTTATTGTTCAGAGAGGAGGGACGGGGGATGTCAAGTATTTACAAGTTTACAAACTCTAAAACCGATGAGCGAGCCCATCGATCCCACTGGCTAACTGGCTAACTGTCTAACTGACTGTACCCGATGAGGATCAGGGCAGAAAAGTCAGGCCAGCTCTCGTATATCATATCATATCAGTATACATATGTAATATATGCGTATTTGTGGGTATTTATATATAGTTTCTATATAGAACTCTATATAGAGTTATGTGCATATGTAAAATTGTTAAAAATTGGTTAGTTTTGGGGTTAGTAAACTTTCTCATAATATAAGTTCATTACTTCAATTCGTGTTGGTTGGTAGTTTTTTGATTTTTTTTTTTTTTTGAGGGTGTTCAGTGTGGGTTAAGTAAAGAAAAATAATCAAAAATAGTTGGTTAATGGTGTGTGTGAGTGTTGGGTTTTTTGTTAATAATAATTAATAATATATTGGCGAGCTATATGGGCCTCTTGCAAAAACGAAGTTCTGGAACATGGTTCATTGTAATTTAGTTCTTCTCAGTTACTTTATGCATTTCTTATCTGGCTTTCTTGTTTCTTTAGTTGTTGGTACTTTTTACAAATTAAGCGAAATTGTTTGTTGCTCTAATTATTGTTGCTCAGTTGCGTTTGTTTCGTATTGTTTATCTTTATCATTTACAATCTGCTTGAGATATATAAACTGATGTTTGTTGTGTTTACGTGTTTTCTGTTTTCTGTTTTCTGTTTGTTGAGAGGGCGTGAGATGAACTGGGAAGGCGCGCGGGGCAGGCAAAAGTGTAGTCACTTCGGCCCTGGCCACGGCTGTCCGCAGTGCTTTTCGGAACTTATATTTATGGCATTTACTGTACACAGAGGAGAGCAAACAAATTCTGGCCGTGGCAGCGATAGCAACATTAATGGGTATCCGCATCCGCATCCGCATCCGCGAGATACACTCGTGGTTCGTGGTTCGCAGTTCGGTTTGGTCGTTCGTGGAGTCGGTTCGTTTTTCGTTGTGTTTTTCGGTTCGGATTGTGGCCGAAGCCTCTTGGAAGCTCGTTTGTCGCTGGTTAGTCACTCATGTCGGTTACTGTCCTCGGCTGCTGCTGCTGGCCGGCGATGTTGCTGCCGCATGTTGCATGTTGCATGTTGCATGCTGCCGTCGATGTTGCTGCTGCTGCTCCGGCTAGGAAATTCCTCTGCTCTCCTTTTCGCTTGATTCTGTATATTTCTGAATTTATTAATATATTTTTGTGTTTTGAGTGTGTAGTATTTTTTGTGTGGAGCTTTCTTCGCTTTTTGTTTTTTTTTGTTTTCTTTTTGTTTGCTTTTGCTGATTCTGACTAATTTACAATGTGTGTGTGTGGGTGTTTTGTGTGTGTTCATAATGACGTACAACTTCTTCTGCGTTCGGATTTGGATTTGAATTCATCAATATTAATATTATGTTTGTTTTCGCACAAAGTGAATTAATTTTACTTAATTTGCTTGAACAGTGTGCAGCAACATTCATTTCTTTACTTTCTTTTCTTTTTTCTTTTTTTTTTTTGTGGTCATCGCTCGGTTATTCGCTCGATTGGCATTTCGTATTGATTGATCGCAATTATTATTATTGATTCATTTAATCCCAGGGCATTGTGAGCACCCGCTTCGTTTTTGCAAGAAGGTCGTTATCGTACTACGAACATGGGTGCACCACCGCATTGTAGCTCGCCAATATAGGACCATGTGCTCCCGCGAAGGGGGTACTCACAACGTCTGGTGTACTAGCTCCATCGGTGTGCGATGTGGAGTCGGCGTTGCTGCGCCCTTCTCCGTTCGCCGATCCCAACTCCGGTGGTTTGGTGGTGTCCCGTTCGTCGATCACTAAATCTATTGGCATTTTACCCTTTAAACACGATATATACCGATGACAGAAGTTATCGCATAACTCGTGTACCTGCAACGAGACAACCCCGCGAAAAAGGCAGAGAAGGTGGTAGAGAAGAGAGAGAGAAGAGATCATCAGTTTTGAGTCGTTTTCTTCAGGGGCGGGCGGGGTGCATTAAAGGGGGCTCTTTTCTAAACGGGGTGCTCTGAAAACATCAGACGGTGTGCTATGTTTCAAAGGGGGCTTATATCTAGAGGGGAGGCTTATGCTATGTACGAAGAACATTTAAAATAGTAACGAAAGCACATTAGACGATGGACATGCAGCCAATTGTATATGTTGTATTTTATGCATCGATTTTGAAAGTACATTTGTACATTACATACACGTCTTTTGTACAGTAGTAGGTATTTTAATGCATTCAGAACGCAGTGACAAGTAAATATTGCATGTAGGGTATCGCTGATATTTAGTTTTCACTCATTGCTTATATCTACACTGGAAGCCAGCTTAAACATTGCCATACACTAAGCGCCATCGCATTCTTGCCCCAACCAGAAACCTGCTCATCCCGCTTGGCCGATCTGCCACTCCCCCTGCCCCTGCCCCTCACCAATCCCCAGCAAATGGCATGCAAATTGCTTTTGATGCGTTACCTGCAAACTCGGACTCCATCGCCCAGGCCCGTGAACATGATGATGGCACTCAAAAATGGCTGAGGCAGCGGCTTTAGCTCCTAACCAAGGCCCATAAATATGCATAGAGGTACGAAATAATGCACTGGCCGAAAAGGAAGTGGCCAGCCAGCCAGCCAGCCAGCCAGCCAACCAGCCGAACGAGACGAGGCAGGCAGCTTAGCCCCGGGGCACACTTTCAGCCAAATAAGCAGCCGGGCCAAGACCGAGCAGCAACATGAGACAGCAGCACGTGCAACACTCGCATTAGCAACATGGAGTAGAGGATGGAGGATCGCTGGCGTCATCGTCGGCGGGAAAGAGGTAAAAGGCAAAAGGCAAAAGGCCCGTGAAGACTTGGCCCAAACAGAATGCGTTTTTAAGGCCCTGTTGTTGCTGCTGCTGTTGCTGCGAGTGTTGTGTTGTGTGTGTGTGATAAAACAAATGCGATAAGGCCAAAGTGAGTGTGAGTCAGGCATATACTCGTATGCAAATATGCAGCAACAAAGAGAGGAATGCAGCCGCCGCCACGGCTAAAAAGAAATTAATTGCACTGGGCCATGGCTGGCAGACACAGCAGCAACAACTGCAACAACTGCAACACTGGCAACAACAGGGTGCTCCATTTAACCGGGCCAGGCATTTAATTTACGAAAAAGTGCGCGTTGCTTATGCAAATTGTTTGTTGTTGCTGCTGCTGCGCTGCCGCTTCTTTTCTGTTCGTTTTTTGGCCTGCAAAAGCTGCAACCGCCAGGCTATTAACTTGTTGCCCATTGCCCAAACTGGCCAAACTCGTTTGCAGGCTGCTTTCAATGTTATTGTCACCGAAAAAATATACGCAAAGGCCAAAAAGGAAAAAAGAACAGCAACAAAAATGGCAAAAATATGATAAAAAGAGCAACGGGCCTGCCGGCAACTGGTTTATGACAGGACAATGTCAAATTTGTCGCCGCCGCTGATAAGCTGCCCCAGCAGCGGCAACATGTTGCAGGCGGAGCAGCCGCGACTCGTGGCGGTCTTATGGTTGCACTTGTAGCTGTCAAAGTGACCATAACAATATCCATAAGGCGTGCAATTAGCGCGCCAGCAACATGTTGCCGCTCATGCACATGCAACATGAGGGCGCCCACCAAATTGATATGTTTATGCGATGCTGCTGCCGCTGTTGCCGCTGTTGCAAGTTGGGGCCCTTCGGAGACTGGCGGAGTTTCGATGCCGGCTGGCTGATAAGTTTTGATTAATTTGTCAGCATTGTATGTGACATTTTCGAGCGGCCCATTGCGATATTTATGACTGCCAGTGGCCCCATGTTGCTGCTGCACATTGCTGCTGCTGCTGTTGCACATTGGGTGGCCCCACGAGCAGCAAGGGCGACTAGTGCAGTTGCAGCAACCAGAGGGCGTTGCTTGTAAATGCTGACGCTCATTTGTACATCCTGCTAAGCAGAACTTTTCACGGCAGCCACATCGGCTTTTCCGCCCGTTCAGCTCCTCACCGCCCTGGCAGCTTCCTCCGCTCTAATCTCGATGCAAATCGCTCCAATCTGCGCAGTGGTAATTCTCGATTTCCGCTCATAGATAGCCTGAACACAGTCTGTCTAACAAGTTTACTGTGCTCTCTCTGACATTTAAATGCAGTGCAATTAATTGCAGTACGTATTGCATAAGTGGCCATAATAGCTTATCAGCCTTGCTCTTTAAGACCGAACCTCCCTTGCCCCGCATGACATGTCGCCCCCACTTTGCTCGCATCTGAGTTGGGATTGTGCTATATTTTTCAGAGCCAAAAAAGTGCTCGAAGACCCTCGGCTTGCATCATCGCCAAAGCCAAAAGCACACAGCTGTCGATGGTGATGTTGCTGGTGTTTCTGAGCGAGAGATCCCGAGGCGATCTTGGCCAAGCCATCAAAACAAGGCCCCAAATCGTTGCTGCTGGCGGTGTTGTTGCTGTTGCTGTTGCTGTTGCGGGTTCTGTTATGCCCCATGCCGCTTTAGCCCAAGCGATTCCGATTCCGATTCCGATTCCCCGATCCGATACGATGCCCGTGCCCCCCGCTGGCGGAGAAGCGTGTGCAACTGACCCAACGTGTTGTGTCCCCGTCTTTTTGTCCCACTGTCCATCCGTCCATCAGTCGCTTTGTCCCACCGTCCCACTGTCCGTTTGTCCGTTTGTCAATTGCAATGCCTGCCTGCTTGATTTTTTCTCTGTATTTTATTTTGTTTTTTTGCGTGTGACTCTGTGACGAGAATTGTCCGTGTGCTGTGGGGAGCTAAAAAGCTGGAGACTGGGTACTGGGTACTGTGGACTGGGGCCCCAAAGCCTGGAGCTTCTGACTGAGAAACTGAGAAACTGAGACACTGAGACACTGAGCAACTGAGACTGCCAAACCAGTTTTTGACAGACACAAGTCTTGAAAACGTCTTTTTAACTGATTCTGTTCGCTGCTGTTGTTTTTATTGTTTTCAGCAGCGGCAACAAATATGCACAGATACAGATACATTTACTCGCTCCCATATAGATGTTGTATGTTTTTCTGTACTTTTTGCAAGTCAACCCGCACATTTTATTTAAGTATATTTTGTATTTCATTGTGGCTGTGCTTTTTCTGTCGTTTTGTTCTCTGCATTTATATATTTATTTTATACACCAAAAAATCGACCGCTGCATTTTGTTGGCTGCATATAAATGAGTGTGCTTTTTATGCTCGATTTTTACGGTTCGATTTCGATTTGACGTTTTTCAGTACAAGTTGCTACAGTTCTTTGTTGCTCTTGTTGTCGTGTGTGTCGCAAGCTGTGTGAGTGACAAATGACAAAACAAAAACCTGTCGTGGTCTCGGCCGCTGCTGTGATGTTGATAAAGATCGTGGCTGTTTTAGTTTTGTTTTTCTGCACTGTCGTACTGTTGTACTGTTGTACTGTTGCACTGTTGTCTATACAGGGTGCCACAAATTGCAGCTGGCCAACTGACTGACTAACTTGGCTTACTGCACTAGTTGTGTGCTTTTGCTTGCTTTCGCGGGCTTAGAAAGCGTTTGGTGATTAGCCACTAATTGCACCTTGATTGACTCTGCTTCGTTCGATTCCTTTTCGCCGTCATTAGCCCATATAGCCATGGTCTAAGCCCTCGCCGCAAAAAGAGGCCGCCAGATGCTGCATTCCACGGCAAACGACTTTGGGTCAAGTGCAGGGCCAGCGATCTTGCATCCGTCAAGTGCTCAATCTTAAAAACGTATTCAGATTTCTGTCTGACTTCTAAATCGATAGTATCCATGTTCCTCGGATTTTAAACAATCGCCGTTAATGATGTGCCAGCCCCTCTCCTCTCCACTCCACTCCACTTCACTATATATTCCCTGAGCGTTTCGCCTTGTTCTGCTTCGGTCTTTTTTCGGTTCGTGTAGAATGTTTTGCATAATTTCTTACTTAAGACTTAATTGAAAAACGAGTGAAGAGCGACTTTCGGACGGGTTTTCTGGCCGGCTTAGCCTCAGCCTCAGTGGCTCAAACTCCGGCACCGACACCGGCTCTGAGTTTCGGTTTCAGTTTCGGTTTCGGTTTAGGTTTAGGTTCGCTCCACGCTTCGTTGCGCATTTGCCTAATTAATTTTCTCAGCACAGCAGCAGCAACAAAATACAGCAGATACAGCAGATACAACAAATGAAATACAACAAAATACAGAAAAGAGGGGCTAGCCGGCATTAATTACGACCACGTTTGAGGAACAACTTCCATTAAGTCACAGACTGGGAGACACGCACCCGAAGCCGCTTGCATATTATTTGAAATTAAAACGAATTAGGCAACCTGTAATTTTTCCATTTAGACCATAAAGTGTCTAATAATCAAGTAGGTGTTGTGGCACAGAACCCTCTCGGAATAAAACCTCCCCCAACCTTTCAATTTACTTGGGAAAATAATTAATGTGACTGCGTTATCTAGGAATTGTGTTAGAAAATCGAGGGGGCAAGTCCCTGCAGTCATCACACCTCATGTATCAACAACAAAAGAGATGCCGAAACCTGAATGCACTCCATTGTTTGTAAAGAATTTGCCTTTTGTCCGCTTTTGTTTTTTATCTTACGCACGAAACTGTAACCAACTACAGAAAACACCTGCCGCTGGCCAAATATTTGTGGTCTAGGCCCACATCCTGCTTCCCCTTCTGCCCCGCAAACAAATATTTCACTTTGATTGGCAATTAATTCAATTTTCAGCTGCATTTTTTTGCGTTCTTGCTGCTGCCTGGCTCCTTTAATTTAGACATTTTGCAAGTGTATTAGACCAAGTGCAGATACAGATACATATATATATATACAAGTATATATAGATAGGCGGCCGCCCGCTGGGCAACTATACATGTGTCCCCTTGGCCACTTGGCCCCTTTCACCCCTTTGCAACATGGCTCAATAAAATGTCAACACAAATGTTGGTAATTGAAATGCGCGCCCGTTGGCAACTATTTGCCTGCTTTTTTCGCCCCGGCGTTTTGGACCCGCTTTTATTTATGGGCCTGCCGGCTGGAGACTGTGTTTTTGGGTCCTGGGTTCCTGGGTTCCCGGGCTTGTGGGTTTGTGGGTTCCTGGTTAAGCATTTTGGGTGGTCTTTTTGGGGCGTTGATAAATGATTGCCGGCGACTGCGACTTGGCCCGGCCAAGTCCACTCTGGCTTTTTTAGTTAATTGCAATGACTAAACAAATGCTGCTTTTTCTGCCCGCTCTGATGAGGTTGCATAAATAGGCTTTGATATTGAAGCTATGGCAATGTTTAAGCTGACTTAAGTGGTATACTTAGAGTAAGAAAAATTACTGGAAAGTCGTTACTTACTTTTTCTAATTCTAAAAGGTGAAACCGAAGTACTTGTATTGCTTGCACCATCTGAAAGAAGAGGAGAGGAAATTCCAATGTAGTAGGGTAAAATATAAACATGTCACAAGAAACTGAGAAACTGAGATTTGGATCATTCGCGATAGCGACTGCAAATTAACATTTTAATTTTGTTATACAAAACACCCTGGCACACTCACACTCACAAACACAAACACAAACACAAACACAGAGGCATTGAAGTGATTGCTGGTGTGCCCAGACCGCTAATTAAAACATCAGTTTGACATTTGACATTTTTACGATGCTGCTAACTGCTGCTGTGTGGCCTGTTTGGTTTTGGTTATTGTTGCGGCTACTGCAGCCAGGAATTCCATTTTAACCCAAGACATGCCATAAACATTTTTATAGCAAGGGGTTTCTTTTATTTCTGCCTCTTCCTTTAAGTGAGTGTTACTAAATGCACTTTTAAATGTTCAAACACGATAGCGGATAAGGGGGCGGAGCACGCGGGGGGAGTGGCAACCACAGAGTGGCATGCCAAAATGATTTATGGCCAAAGTACGCAGACGCGAGCGGGCCAAAAGATAGACACACGGCCATGGCCAAGACGATCTATGCCGAGGGACATATGCAAGCGGCGCGGTGGGAACTGGGGGTTTTTCAGTGATTTTGTACTACAACTAATAAACTAATCTGTAAGTGCATAAAATTAGGGCCACCAGAGGAAACTCCGCCGTGAGTGAGTGGGTAAGTGAGTGACACATTTACGACTGCCGCCAATTAAAATTAGTTTTGCCCATAATCTCTTTATACTCCGCCAGACTCGCGGCTCTCTGAACTATATATATGTACGTGCACATATAGACACCATCCATATGGTTTTTTGTTTTTTTTTTTTTTTTTTTTGTATTTTTTCCATCATCCGACTTTGGCTTAGCTGGTAGGCAATTGCATGGCTCGTTTTGCACTTTTTGCACGCGGCATTTCCGTCTTGATTTACATTCTGCTGGATGCTGCTGCCTCCGAAATGATCTCTTTTCGGCCCCCAACGTTTCCCGCACTTCCAAACTCATGGCCATAAAAATTGTTATGACTCTGCGGGTTGAGGAATGCCAGGAAAAAGATTTAGCAACATATAGGGATCAGGATCTGCTGAGGCGGTTGTTTCCCTGGCCTATTCCTAACCTGGGTGGTTGGAGGATGTTTACGGATGTTTGCAGCTAAATTTGTTAAATGAATTTGGATGTAAGCCCTACTCTATATCTGCCCAAGCTCAACGCCTCTGACTCAGTTCGGTTCCCCACTGCTTCTGGCTGTTGCTCATCAACGAGCTGCCCATCGCTGCCCATCGGAGTGTTCAAAATCCGGATGCCCTGTGGCAGATTAGCATGAGTTCCGTTCCGTTCCCCCCAAACTACAATAATAATGATCCTCGAAGATTTGAGCTCATCATGAGCGGCGATCATGATCATCGTCAAGGTTGTGCTGCTGGCATTTGCCTTGGATCGAGCCCCCCTTTTCTGCCCAAGATCGCGAATGCATATTCCACTAAAGCCAAGACGTTGGCTCCATTGTTGTTACTTTTGCATCTTTTTTTTGCATTTTTACTTATTTTTTCTTTTTAAATTTTTTTCTTTGCACACCCAAGGCTGGCTGGCAGGCAGGCAGCCCATTTAGAGAGTGCAAAAATGTCATATGCATCATTAAATCGTTCTGCTTCATATTGTCGTTCGCATGGGTTCGCTCGTCGCTCGACTCCCCTATATGCATGCCTATATGCCCCGATATCGCCCAGAGACTGACTTCTATATCCCCCGAGAGCGGGCAAATAGCAAGAGCGAAAAGTATGGCAACGCTGTCCAATAAAATGACTAAACAACTCAGTTCGGTCTGACGAACAAATGCTCATAAATTGCGTTCGTTGGCTGTGGCTTTTGCTAAATTCGCAGTGATTTATTCTAAATAAAAGAAAATTATTCAATTGTCGTCGTTGTTTTGGGTCAAGGTGATGCACACACACACTCACACACTCGCACACAAGAGCACTGGGGGAAAGAAATAAAAAACTAGCCATGATCTTTGGCTTTGGCAACTTGCTGCTAAGGAGGCTGTGCAACTTTGTTGCCAGCTTTGCTTTTCGTTTTTTCTCTTTTTTTTTCTGCGTACTTACCAGTGAGTCGACTTCGGGATCTGCGGTATAATAGGGTTTCTGTGATCTTATCTGCAAGGAGAGAGAGTGAGAGGACGTGGTTAGTAGGTGTTAGGTTTACACAATGAGAAATGATTTCATCTAAATCAAGAACCATTTTAAGTGATATTTCGATATATACACAGGTTTTCCCCCTCTGTACTGCAGACTGTGGCCAGCTGTGCTATTTTTATTTGGTTCTTTTTTGCCATTTTATGATGGCCTGGTGGCCGATAAGCTCATGCCAAACCAAAATATTGTACACATTATAAAACTACAACAGCAAACATAAGCAAATCGGTTCCACGGCGGGCATGGGAAACGCAACATTTGTGCTCATCAGCTCATCAGCTCATCAACGAACCCAAAGCCAAAAACCCAGACACCAGACCCCAGACCCCAGACCCCAGAGCCCAGAGCCCAAAGAGGTGACGATGCGACTCGCTGTGACCATAAAAGAGATTCTCGCTTTTATAGCAATCCCGAACACACAGAGATATAAAAATAAACCACACACTTAGATAAAGATCACAAAGGCAATATCTGGCTAGATAAAATGCCACACAGACCGACCGAGAAGGTCATCAAAATGCTGTGCGAATTATTTGAAATCCGTTGTCGAACTGCGACTCTTCGCTGGATTTAACTGCTTGGCGTTGGTGTGTTGGCTCTCACGGAACTGAGCCACAATAAATGGCCGAGACGAGCTCGGGTCTTCAGTCGTTAGATAAACAGATATCGCCGACAAACACCCGCTGCGATATCTTATATAACGGTCGACGGACCTGACCTTGTCCACATGCGTAAGTGTTACTTGGGTTTTTGTGCAAAGTTGTTGCACGCTGACCACCCAGTTACATATGTGCAACAAGGTTGCCCTGCAGGCGGGAGGTCCACTGGTTGGGTTTTACATTGTTCCGGTGATAAAAGACATGACCCTGAAAGGAGCTACGGACATTACTGATCTCCCATTGTGGACTGCCAATGAGCGGATTAAGGCAATGTTCAAAATGTAAACACAATTAATCAAACATGCGCGGTGCAAGGCCACACTGATTATAGAATTCCTTGCTTGGTCACACTACGCCATTTGGATACTGTTAGACATTCTCCAATCAGCTATGAAGCTAGCTGTTCTTAACAAAAGCTTTGTGTCTCCCACAGCTCCTGCAACTATGACTACTATGATCGTCCAGATACAACAAACCCACACAGAATCGCGTCCGAGTTCGACTCCAGCTGTCCAAGGCAGTAACGGCAATTTGAAATCAACTGAGCCATGTGCAGCTAATAATTACACACTTTGCACACGGACGGCGAGGCGGGAAAGACTGGCAAGACTTGTATCTAGATATGTGGGCACTTCCACACCATTGTACGAAATGGTCGTATGAGAAAAACGCCCCATTGTGAGTACCACACCATAGCATACCATGCCATGCCATACTACACATTACATACAATAATAACAAACACAAAGCACGGCCATTGAAGAGTCGCGATCGAAAAATTGAAGGGGCACGGCGCAGGGGCAAATGCGGGGAGTCAAGTTGCGTGTTGGGTATTTTGCAAAAGTTGTTGCCCGTTGGCTTTTATGTTGCATTTTCAAATGCTGGTTGGCTGATGTGGTGTTGCACACACACACACACACACTGGAGATACAGATAAAATGGGAACTCGCCAAACTGGTTTCGCTATGCAGGCTCGCGCTTTTGGCTTTAACTGATATGAAAAGCAGAAAAGCAGTCGGCCAAAGATGTTGGCCGGGCCTATATTGCACGCACTTTACCACCGGAGGTTGGGCTTTTTTTGTTTTTGAAGCAAAAAAAAAAATGGCTGCCCCAAAACCTTGAACACATCCGCGGTCCATCCTAATTGAAGTTATTCTTCGCCGAAAATGAGAGACGAGAACGGTATGATTTTAAAAATATATAAATCATGCGGGCAACTACTAAAATGCACAGCATGAGACAAGTCTATAAATACGCGCAATACGTTCGGCAGTTGGGGCGTGAAAATGAAATGGGAAATGGGGATAAAAACGGAATGATTTTCCCCAACTTTTCCCCAAAAACAGTTTTGTCAACATGCTGCTGCTGCTGCTGCTGCTGCTGCATTGCGTGGGCGTCTGCAGCTGACAATTTTGTATTTATAGTTCAGTTTTATTTCGAATCAGTCTCAAATCGAGTCATTGCGGAAATCGTCACGCGCCTCAAAAATAAAACCACAGAAAAAAATAGAAACTAGAAAATAAGCAAAATCGGAACCTGAGAGCCCAAAGCGAACCCCATTCGTAATCAGTTTCACATGAGCACCTCATAAATTTCTATTTCTGTTTTCCGTTGTTGATTTTTTATTTATTCACTTCACATATTTTTTGCGACAACGGACGAAAAGAAATCACTACTGTTTAGATACTGCTCTTCAAAGCGCCTTTTTTATGATGCCAATAAATGCAATTATACAACCGGCAAAAGGTTTACAATGTCGCGTCTCCAAATCGCCGGCCCCAAAGATACAACACACAAAAACAAATAAAACAAAAAAAAATCTTAAGTAAAATAAAAAAAAATCGAAACTCAGTTGGCGTAGGTGGTCATAAATTTCCCGCGCGCGCGATTATGGGGGAATTTTGAAATCAGTACCATTTCATCAACCACGTGCTATCATACACCGTCATAAGGCCTATATATACCATACGTCTCTATAGAACCTGGTCAAATTATGATTCAATCAAGACATTTCCTCGGCCAATTATCGGAAAGGCGAGACGCGAGGAGGAAAGCGAAAACGGAGCAACTAATCTGGGTTCGTAAAAGACACAAAATAAACGCATTCATTCCAGCCGACCCGACCCGAACCGGACTATATTCGTTTTATAATGCCAATACACAGGGTGGGTATGATTTTATGGCCAGGTCGCTTGGCTGTAAAATCATTCCGAGCCAGCGAGGAGATAGCCCGTACTAGGGACAATAGTACGGCCGCTTGGGCATACAATAGTTGCTGGTCTGCAGGCACTTGAGTAATGTGGTGGCTGGTGGCTGGTGGCCATAAAGCCCCACTTCCAGCCAGAGTGTTTAGACCCGTACCACCCGACTGGGTCATAAAGCAATTTATGCACCACCGCACCACCACCACCGCCGACTTTTGGAATCAGCGCACAGTAGCCAGCATTTGGAGTCGTCGCTGCCGTCAGAAGCCGCCTGTCGATCGCAATTGAGCCTCTGGCCCACTTGAGAAAAGAGTGCAGTGATAACAGTGATAGCCGTGATAACACGGCCCAATGCCAGGTAAAAGGGCCGGACAAAAAGATTTGCAAAAGGCACAAAAAGCGGGGAAAGGCCCAGCCGAAAAGCATTAGCTTTGGCCGCCTTCTTATCTCTGCAAATTGACCAGGCTCGTCGATAACAATTTATTTTGTTCGATATGCTAATAAATATTTTCCATCAATTAGGTGTAAGCCCAAGCCGAAAAGTTCAAAGTTCGAACTGCAACTGAGACGGCAGAAGTATCGCCGGAGGATCCCGCCCTATTATTAGTTGGTCTAATTGCGGAGCCAAAAGTCAGCGGGGGATACGAAAAGCGAGGCGCCTAAATTGCAGCACGTAGCCACCTTTTATTATTTTCATTTCCATGTTGCGTGCCACGGCGCCAGCCGCATGCGGGTTTCCCTGCCCCTTTCAACATTACTATAAACAAACAGCAAGAGCCATATAAATATGTATTTGGGAAGCAGATTGGCGACGCTGTGCGAGTATCTGTTATCAAGATTTTTACCGAGGCCCCGAGGAAAACAAACCAAATTGGAGTAACAGCCGAAGAAGATGGGACATTTTTCATAAACTGGGCTAAAAGATTGTTTCGGTCTCCATCGGGGAAATGAGTATCTTGTCTAGACCTGAACAAAAGCTGTGACCGCAAGAACATAGGAAAAACTATGTATCTTTGCGCAGTCACTGCAAAATTGCACTTACCTCAAACAGCGAAAAAATCAAATGAAACTAGACCCAACTCGAATCGAGACAAAACCATATCGGGTTTCTCACACCTACACAATGGGAAATGGAACCACGCTTAGGTGCCTAAAAGCTTGCTCAATGGCCAAAATGCAGGGGCTTAATGGTGGGGGCAAGTCGCATTGGCAATATCTAAAAACTAACTATGGTGGCAACATAAATTACGTATCAATCGAAAATGCTAGCTAAAATTGCAAATCAAAATATCTAAGTGCTATTTTAATAACCCCCTTCAAAAGCTTTGCGCGCCGCCTTGTGCCGCAGCCCACTCATAGAAATAACAATAATTTCGTTGTAATACAAAACCGAAATCCAGCAGGAAAAACGAAAAAAAAAACAAGAGAACTTTATTTGCTTAGCCGATGACGATGATGTTGGACTTGTTTAATGTCGTTGATTACTTTTACCCGGCATCATCAACAAACACAAATAGACCAACAACACGGGCGAGGCGAATGCGTTGTCATAGTTGTAGTTGTTCCATATCTATATCTTTATAATGGGCGCACAATATCGGTAGTAAAACAGCCGCAATTGAGGTGACACAAGCAGCAACTAGAAACAAAACCAGAGACTCGACGACCCCCACAAACTGCTTCTTTTTATAGCCCCACAACCTCGCACCCCCCAGGAAAAAGCGAGCGGGAGATACTCCACTTCAGATACTTCAGTTTACGACCCAAAGGCAAACTCGCTGCGGCAGCTACCGCTCAGATACACTACTTCTAACGCTTTTCGCTGTGGGCAAACACAGGCACTGGCACACACGGTAGGAAAATAAAGAAAGAGCTCTGCAGAGACAATGTCAATATTTGCATTGGCCAAGAGATTTCCCTGCTTACCTGAACCAAAAAACACAAAAATACAAAAATACCAGCAAGCAGTTGAAAATAGTGGAATGTAGCCGAGTGCCAGAGATAATTGTTACGCTGCGCCCAAACATCCGGTCTTTAGCTGATAATCGCGCAAATAATCAGAAATCTTTTATACACACATTATCGGCGAAAGATGGTTGATGGTTGTTGGTTGTTGCTTGTTGGCTGTTGGCTGACAAGTTCGCCTGTCAATTGTATCACAATTTGTCACTTTGCAGCCGCTCGTTGTGCTTTGCTTTTTAATTGAGAACGTTTAGCAGACATCTCGTCTCGGGAGCCGGCGCTCATAAATCATTTTGGGTTAGCTTCGGGGGGAGGTTGGGGCGGCTGGGGCGGCTGGGGTTGGATTTTCCCCATAAGTAACGCCACATAAATAAGGCGCAGCGAAAGAGTGAAATGTTCTTTTTGTGAGAGAGCGCTGGGAAAATCATTTCCATATTCGTGAGAGGGCAAGACTCATATTGATCTCGGTATCATTTGTGGCTCTATTTCGAATTGGTGGCTCTACTTCTCGGCTACTTTTCGGATAGCGCAAATTGATGGTTCGCCCTAATGGGTTAACTCGCATTATGTATCCAACAGATACACATCCATGCGCTGGCATATATAGAGCTGTTAAGAAGGGTCAAACTACTGAACAAATATTGAAAGTCATTCCGGGCAGAGGCAGCGGCGGCGGCAGCGGCAGCAGCTCGAAAATGTTGCCATAATCCAAATACAAACTCCGGAATCAGAGAGAGACGGACATAGGAATGGTGATAGAGAGCGAGATATGCAGGCAGTTAACTAAATAATCACATTTAAAAGGCGCCAAGTGGTTCCATAAACAAATATTTGAGGGAATTGGGAACGCATCTTGTCTGCTGGCTGCTAATGGATTGTGGCTCGTATGCAACTGTTAAGTAAATAATCTTGGAAAATCCACCCTGCGTTCGATTTTCCCCCCCTTTTTTTCGGCGTCTGTGCCAAATCAATTCACGCTGTGCAATTGCGGCAATCACCATACAGAATGAAAGCAACGCAATTCCGAAAAATTAAAACTCCCCTTGATTTCTGCTCCTTGGTTTTTGTTTTGTTTTGTTTTTTGTTTTTTTGGGTGAAACAGTTGCGCCTGCGCACTTTTGCTCATTTCGCAGTTTGGCCAAAAAATTAAATAAAAGCGAAATATAAATAAAAATAACAGAGGGAACCTTTTGTTCTGGCCAAGAAATTCAAAACCCGCTAAGGGTTGCGATCGCACAGAACTAAAAGAACAATGCGTTGATAATATACATAGCTAGAAAGAGCGAAAGGGAGAGGGTCGGTGAGCGAGGGAGAGGGCGAGATTAAAAAGGTACCAAATTCCAAATAAAAAGGTAAAGGTTTCTGTATTTCTTTTTTTATCATTAAAAGAACAAAACAACGGAGAGTCGAAGCAGGGAATATTGCACAAAAGAGATTAAGTTCCTTTTCTTTTCTTGGATTTTTCGTTTTTTTTCCTCGTTCTTGGACCCCGAGAAACGCAAATGCGTAGCGGAGAAAGGAGAAGACGACGGGACGACGGGACGACGGGACGACGGGACGAGCAGAGATATCTCTCCTACAGAGATCCCTCGGCAAAGTGAACATTCCAATGCGGCCGAGGCTGTGCGGTGCTCCTGCTGACAATACACATACAACACAAATGCGAAGCGTAACCTTTCATACCTGATTATGAACCATCCTCCTCCGTTTCGGATGAAATCAGAAAATGCAATTTACGAAACAAAAAAAAAGAATAACGGGAGGGGGAACGCGTTGCAGGGGGACTGGGAAAAGGTAAGCCGGTAAATTGCCTTTTGTAGGGAAAACCCAGCCGTATATATGTGGATAGACCAGCCGGAGAAAACCGAAAAGTCCCGAAAACATTGATTGGCATTAGGGCTTAACCTGTTCGGTTTCGGTTAGAAGCCTGTTACCTGCTTCATTGCCGTTGTTGGCCAGCTTGAAATGTTGTGACAGTTGCTGGGCAGCCAGACAAATGTCAAGGACGGCCAACTAGGGGCACTTCATTAATCATCCCGGATCTGGCGATCTTCCCGCAACACGTTGCAGCATGCAACAAATCAACTCATCGCATGTCCAAACTATTAGCAAAATGTCAAGAAACGAGCTGATTTTCATTCTAAATTACATACTTAAAGTGGAATCACATGAAATGATCTGCACACCCAGGCGCGCCATCCTTTGTCTCATTTCGGGGATCCTCAACAAAGAAATGATCAGACAACGAACTTTTCGCTGGGCATTTTATTTTTATATGTGTAGTGTCTCTGTATGGGCGCTTCTTTACATATACTTGCTCTTGTTGCGGTCTTTATTTTTTTGTTCATCATTTGCATCACATGTTGCTGGTTTAAAGAGAAATTATAAAGCGTTTCCTTAGCTGCATCATTAGCAGCGCCAACACCAAAAGTCGCCTAACTATGCCCGCCATCCAGAGGGGGATCTTCCGAGGAGAGATCGGTGGGTATGGGGATATATGTGGGCACTGGGATTTTGGGATGGTCTTCGCGATATTATAGGGGAAATATCACCCTGTTGCTGGCGTTGGCGTGGCGCGTTTTACGCAGTTGCTTAGTCCAAATTAAAGTGAATATGCTCGTATATATAGCATAGCGGGAGAGTGCCAACGAAGAGATATATCTGCAATCTATCTATATAAAATGCATCGGCATCGGCATCATCATCATCATCAGGAGCAGAGGCAGAAGCAGAAGCAGAAGAAGCAACAACTGCGCCAACAGCAACTACGAGTAAAAAAGTGCCAATGTGCCGCCTTATTTTTAGCCCCTCTTCTGGGGCGACGCTCTTTTCTCCGCTGCTCGTTTGTTAAAATTCGATGGGCGAATGACATTTTTGAGTTATTTTTGTCAGTCCGACACAACGACGAAAGCAGCCAAGAGCTCGGCCAAAAACTATACTGAAAACTCAGCGTACTGAACCGAGGAAAGCCAGAAAAACCGAAACCAGAGGCGAAAACCGAAATAAAAACGAAATGCAAGCGACAACTTAGTTGTTGACGTTCGGTTCGGTGAATGATCAACAAATGTCAACCGCGAGATGGGATCATTGCAGATCGTTATGCTGAATCGAAAGATACTTTAACTTTTGGGTGAGGTTCTTGCGCTGCCATGCACTATACAGAACCTCTAATTGTTGCATCCCAAAAGTTCTAATAGTTTGAGCAACGACTGTCGCGTTTGGCTGATTGGCGTTGCCAGATCTGTCCAATACCTCAATCTTATGTGACATTTTACTGACAATGCTACAAAAGTCTATCAAAATCGCACCCAGCCAAAGAGGCTAAGAGGCAAAGAGCCAAAGACAGGCGGACAGATCTTGATAAATGTGACTCGAGTTTGAGGAGATGTTTCGAGTGTTGTTTTATGTTGTTCTCGCGGTGGCTGTTGTTCTTGTTGCTGCCCGTTTTATTGCCCATAGCAGGGGCCTGTCAAAATTCCAAATGGACCATAAATAAGAACATCATTTTTATAATATTCAACTGGGGGCGTCGCTGGTTGCATTTGTTGTTTGCCAAAAATGTCACCGAGCGTAGAATGGAGCCATAAGTTCTAGTTTGTTTGTTTCGCTTTCACTCGTTTTTGGCATCACCATTTGGACTCTGCGCGTCTACTGTTTCTCAAATGCGATCTTCAATGAGTCATAAAAATAGCTGGCTAACGCGAATGGGGAGCAGGATGTGGAGCAGCGGCCGCAGCCGCAGCAGCTACTTGCAACATTATAATTTGTATGTTAAAACATCGTAAATTATCCGAATGTCAGTGTGTGGCAGCGCATCTTCAGCGCGGTTTTATGAACTCTGAAAAGGGGCGCCAAAGGGGGCGTGAATGCGGCCGGAGGAGGAAGTGTCAAGTGTGGGCAGCGCCATTCTGAAGTCACATCGCATATTTGTGACATATGGCAGCAAGACATTGTTGATCTGGCTGCGGCAATGGGAAGATGTGGCTGCAGCATCGTAGATGTTGCTCTTGTCAGCGGGACTGTAATTAAGTGCAGACTGCCCCGCTCATTGAGACTGGAGATCGGTATGGTATGGTATTGTATGGAATGGAAAGGAATCGATCCTCGACGATCCCGATCCTCGGGGCAATGTAATCCGATCATTTAGCGGCTTGCTTCGTTAAGTTCGTGTGCCGCGATTTGGCTGTTGTTTTTATTTTTATTTTCATTTATATTTATTTAGTGGCCACATGTGGGCCATGTGTTCCCATCCCAGGCCATCCCGGGCCATCCCGGGCCATCCCGGGCCATCCCGATGCCATCCCCATCTCAGAGAATCGTCTCCAATTACCGAATGGAAACGAAAGCTGGGCCCATTATTCTTACCTGTTTACTGAACATTGCAATATCCTCGTTGAACGATTCCGACGAACAGACATCGCCACCTTGCACCCCGGGCTCCCTCGGCGTACATGTGGCCAATTCGCACTTCTCGAAGATCAGCGCCAAAAGCGGGAATAGCGGATGTCTGCAATGGGAAATGGGACAATAAATACATGATACATCAGTTGGTCAAGTTTCAGGACGCTTCCTGCCCTACAATATGCAAATGAGCAGCTGTCTTTCGATCTCTATCTATATATCGGTTGCTCTGGGCAACTAGAAATCCTGAAAGTGGCTTTAAATAAAGATCACCTGGCCCATGAATGAGTGTACTGAACTTGCATTGCAAGCATATATAATTGGATAATATGTTTTACTTAGTTTTGTGCTTAATTGTTAACTACTAACTATTTTCAATGGCTCTGCATCAAAGTATTTCCCTGGATTGACTCGAAAACCGAGGACATTTCCTGTCCAGCCAAATGCAAATGAGCAGCTGCTTTTCCCATCTGCAGCGGCGTTTGTTTCTATATCTGTTTTTGTATCTGTATCTTAGCCTTTATGCACACACAAATAATCCCCCTCTTCATGCTGACGGATTAGTTCAACAACTCAACATGATTTGACCATTTTTTGTTCCATTTCCACTCGGCGAGCAGTTTTCCCCTGACCAATTTCTCAATTTCTGTACAAATTGCACCTGAACAAAATTAGGCGGGACCCCTCTGACCAGAAAAGAACCCATTAGATGGCACAAAAAAGGAAAAAGACCGGACCGAAAAGTAGGGGGTGTCGACCTGCGCTTAACAAACTATTAATAAGAGTCCGAGCTCGGAGTTTCCAGCCTTTTACAGTTGAGTGCGTTTTTGGCCTGGGATCAGGAGTAGAACCAAAAAATGTAAACGAAACGAAACGAAATGAAATGAAAAAGGCTAAAATAAAACCGCCTCACACTCATTTACGATGACCAGGCAAAAAGAGCAGCTGAAGAAGGTGTTAAGCAGAGAGCTCTTTTCCTTTGTCTTGCCTTTTCCACAATTTCAATTTGAATTCGGGAATAAGGTGCCAAAAAAATAATAATAATCATAATGGCAAGTGCTCAATGAAGTCATAATCATCAACATCATCGTGTTTAAACAGTCACTCGAGACAGGGACAATCATCAAACAGTCGTCAAACATAAGTCATTCATGAAATTCCCTTTCAAAGCAAATATTTGCACAAAAAATATTTATGTATGTGGTGTAGGTAAAAAGGAGGTAAAAAACTTGGCAAACAAGCATTTCAGGGACTCAGACAGCTGGCAAAACAGTTGCAACACATGAAAATTGCCAGGACACGCAATGACACAAAAAGGCACGATCGGGTTAGAAAAAAACCCTTTGGAACTATAAAAAGCCGAGAGAAAGACACAAAAACCAAATGGAGAAGAAACCACAATTTTGGCAAATTAACACCAGAACCGCAAAGCGAGAAACTGCACCTCATTTTTGATGGACGGATGATTGGTTGGCTCTTACTTTTCGGACTCCCTAATGCCTAAGCACGTTCATGTTCCGTGTCCGTCACTAAACACCTGACACACCCCCAAGATACCGTGGAATTGGAAAACGGACATTTCTCTCTGCGAGTTTCGGCCGCAGAGGCAAACCCATAATTTTGTACTTTGCGCAAAACGCAAGAGGATCACGCCCCTTGCTCCCTCTCCCTCTCTCTCTCTCTATCTCGCTATCCTCCTCTCTTTCTATCTGCTGAGGAAAGGATCCTGCCTCCATGGTTATTTTTTCCTCTTTGGCGGAGTTACGCGTGCGCAGAGCTGAAAACAGGTGGCAAATTGGGCTGGGTCAGTGCGAACATGCCAAAAATTATAAATCGATAAAGAGCGCGCGTTCGTATATTGATTGGGATACTTTGATCGATATCCAACAGATTATGAATGGGCAGGTTGGACGGGATCCTAATGAAATGGAATTAACTTTTATTAGGGCACTCAACAATCCCACAAGCAGTAAAATGAAATAGTAGCATAAAAATCACACCTAAAACTGTATTTTATTTCATTTCTACACTTGTCAGTTTATATTTATTAAAGATTTGGGTGCTCAGCAACTACATTATGCTGTGCCCAATCAATAACAACGTGACAGCTACTTTTCTAGGTCCAAATTTCCCACACTCCTCATTCACCACTTGAGCCCCAATCTGAATCTGAACTAAATTCGACTAGCATCGAGATCATCTCGGGTCGCTCGAGCAGAGTTGCCACCTCTGCCGAAGGCGAACCGAATTCCGTTAGTTTACACACTATGGTGTATATATAGTATATGATGTATGCACACTATACGTATACTCACTCATAAATCGCATCCTTATCACGTTTGTGTACTTCGGGTATTGCGCCCATTAGGTGATTACCGACCGGCGATACATGACTAGGTGTTCCATGACCCCCGGCCCCCGAATGGTAGCCGTGCATGCCCACTGTGGCCGCCGCCGCCGCTGCGTGCGTCATGTGCGGAGAGTGGTGCGAGGGGAGGCCCTGCAGTCCGGGCGGCCGGTGACCGGCGTGTGGATCGTACATGGCCGCTGCTGCGGCTCCGGAGTCCATGCCGTAGCCGTGTAGGCCATCGTCATACTGTGGGGATGAGATGGGAGCAGAATGGTCAATTAGAGGGTGTTGCAGGGGGTTTCAGCACCGCAATTGCTCACTTAGCAGAGACGTCTTTAAAACATCTTTACTGCTTCCTTTTAAACTTGAGCTTAATATTGGTGTCAAAATTTAAATAGTAGTGTAGTCCTGAGAGTGTTGTTACCATTCATATACACAAAATATAATAGATATGCCATGTAATTTTATTATCTCCCAGATTGTATGGGATACTGCCTGTTGAATCATTTTTGTCGTTTCTCTGAGTGCAGCCAAATTAGCGGCGACATGAAATCGTTTTTAAGCGCACATATTTAAATACATTTTCTAAATTAAAGACTCTCAAACCTCGAAAAAGGAGAAGAACAACCCGATACCCAAAAAAATAAAAAAAGAAAAGACAAACCCAACAAAAGCGACGACCTTGTGATTACTTTGCCGCTGCTTCGACATTATATGGACGTATACTCATCGTACATTTGGCAACCCATACAGATGTATCTATACATTTCGGTTACCTTACTTTTGTCTTTCGACGTTTTTTGCATATTAATTAAGCGCCAAAAGCAGCAGACAATTTTGAATATTATCAGTTAATCTGGCCAGGCATTTTCGAGTGTGTTTGTGTGTTTGTGTGCTTGCTGTTCTCTATCTATCTTTAAGTTGTACAGCGTATGTGGAGCCGCGCAATTGCAAACAGGTTTTGTGCAACTACAAAATAATAATAACACCAAACAACTGAGAAATGATTTTTCTTATATGCACACACACTCGCACACACACACATGTGGGTACTTTTTCTCCTTCTTTTCAACAAAAGTTCAACGCGGTGTGTGAGATTTTTATCATTTGTACTCAAGTGGCGTCCGTCGGCTGAAGATACACTTCGCCTCTCCGTTTCACACTGCATAATTTGAGGGAACACGAAGAAGTTGACAAAAGATTTTTGTGCAGCGACAAGAGATGCCCCCCTTTCGAACCCCCTTCATGCCGAACAAGTTGAGGTTGATTTTTTATCAGCCTGGAAAAATCTTTGACACTAAATGAGCAATTGACTTGCCGTTGAGAGAGGAGTTTTGAAGTGCAAAAGCGGGGGGAGCTTGGGTTGGGTTGCGTTGGGTTGTTTGCGGAAAATGTCAAGGATCTGCAGCTGTTGGGGAAGAAGTATCTTTGTATCTATACTTCGAACTAGTGCAGTGCGCGTCATAACAGCAGCTGGCTTTGCAGGTGGCTTTCAATAGGCATAAGAATCGAGTAAGGAGGACAAAATAAGCTTCTGCAACGACGATTGTCAACCTTTGAGGTTGAGGCAATCCTTGAGATACAAACCAGAGATTAGTTTAGTGAGGCGGTCGTGCTGCCTCCGTTTTTCCTCTTAGTGTTTTTGTTGCTCTTGCCTGCTGTGTGCACATGCACGAGATACAACCTCATAGATACTACTATACCCACTACAGCATAAGAAACCCAGCAACTTGTCCGCGTTTAGTCAGTTCGTTTTGGCCTGGCTTTTTCGGTTTTTCGCGCTGGGGTTCAGTTCATGGCTGTTAAACTATAAAGTTGTTATGCTAATTTTAGTGTTGGTGGCAACCGAATGCTGCTCTTTTTCTTCATTTTTTTTTCCTTTTTAACCGTTTCGATTTCTTGGCGTTCGTTTCTTGGCTTGTTTAGAAATGAGGAAATTGTGGAGCAACAAAGAGATCTTGAAAATTACCACAATTTGTACTTGTACATAAGTAATGTGGGAATTTGAGCCGCCGCCGCGAAGAAGAGGAGCTCAAAATAACGAAAATACAATGAAGAGTAAAAATCGAACAGGCAAATACACTTAGGTCCATAGTTTTTTGTTTTTTTGTTGTTTTTGTTTGTGCCACAACTCCCCGATCCATTTGGGCCAACTTTGATTGATGATCTTTGATGGTCGGGTCTCGGTCTCCATCTGCCTATCTCGCTCGCTGTCCCTGTGTTTTTCACCATTTTTCTCTGTTGTTTAGTGACCAAGCCGTTGACCTTGTTGAATGGAAAAGCTCTTGGCCAGCCGGATCAATATAAGCCAACCAACCAAGCAAACAACCAACCACCGAACGCAGTCGAGGCCCATGGTCTGATTTTGACAAGTTCAGCGTCGAAAATCCTTCAAAAATTTATGACGCCCCCCATGGCAGCCACAAACACAAAAACAACAACAGCAGCAACTACAACAACAGAAGTGGGCTCCAGTTTGGGTGGTGGTGCTCCAAACTGTCAGTGACAGGCGCTGAAGGAGCTACGATTTTGTTTTTTATATTTCTTGTATTTCTATATATATTTGTGGAGCAGCCTTTTTTTGGGGAGTTTTCCTGCGTTTTCCGACTCTTGTCCCACTTGCTGTCTGTCTGTTTGTCTGTTTGTTTGTGTGTTTGTTTGTTTGGCCGTGTGTGTGCCGGTTCTTGGTATGTTTTTGTCGTGTTTGGGCCACATTAAGTCATTGCTGAAAGCCAGCCCAGGACCAACTAAGCAGCAACAACTCAATTGGACTCTTTAGGCAGAGCTTTAATATGCAGATTTTTGCTTTCAGTGGGCAATCCCAACTTGAACTTTGGCGCTACCCAACAGCCAGCAACTTTAGTAGGTTATTTCAAATCGAATTCCAAATAATACACTTTCTTTCCATCCCACTCTGTGAATGGAAATGGGAATCTAGGCTTGAACCGATCAGCTTAAAGCCGAAAGCCTAAAGTAGAGTTACCAAAGCCTGCGTGAACTTGAAACCGTTGCAAGCGTTGCACAAACAAAAACGCGGAGAGCAACCGGAAATAGCCGCGCAGCAAGGACATTTTGCCCGTGTGTGTGTGCGTGTTTGTGTGTGTCTGTGGGGGGACATGCTAAAAACGGGCTAAAATGGGAGGTCTGGCTTTATCTAGCGGCGCCTAAAACTGACCAAAAACCAGACGCCAGTGGCAGAAGAGTTATGACTGCAAAATGCGGCCAGACCGAAAATGCGCGACAGAGATGGAAAAATAGGTGGGCATGTGTGTGTGTGTGTGCGCTGGTGTTTTGGCCAAAATGGTGACAATGGCCGCCATTATACATAGTCATATAGCCATATAGACCACCCACTTTCCCCGCATAAGGCCGCCAATATGTTTGTTGTACAACCGACATCGTTTATCGATTTCTTGCGTACCCCGCACACTTTTGCTTTTCGCCTTTTCTATTTGTTGAATTTTTCGTATTTTCATAGCCCAAATAAAAAACAGAAAAACCTTCTTAATTGCGCTGGCTGGCGCATTCGAAGGCCTAATCAAAATTAATTGTTTATCATGTTGTATTTGAATTTCTTTCCATTTCTTCCCCACATATCTCTAAGCATAGAATTCTTCCCCTTTTTTCCCTTTTTTTCTGGGACTTCAACTTTAGCTTTGCTTAATTAGCAGACGAGCCGCTGGTTGTAGGTGTGTCCCGCTGCCACGCCCCCTTAGCCCGACGAACAAAGTTACGCCCAGCCTTTTTTCGGGCGGCCTCAAAAGTTTTATTTGGTGTTAGACAATTAATTTTTGTTGCGTGCCTGGGTGTTATTTTAATTTACAGTTGCAGCATTGCCGAGCACCAAAAACTTCGAAAACACGCTTCATCCTAGGCGATATTATTAACTTTTATTGCTTATAATAACAATATTATCGAGCAGGCAAACATCAAAAACGTTGACAGGCATCGAAACGTGTGCTAATTTTTTTCTTCGCCTTCCATTTAATTTATGTCGAAAAACAAATACTTAATACACGCAAAAAAAATAGCACTGAAATATATGCATAAAATTAAAGCAGAGAAATTAGATGCTCGGTAGCCAAATTGAAAGCAACCAACGGCGGGAAAAAAAATAAATGAATACTTTGGCGTTTTAACATTTATCAAAAATCAACAACAAATGACGTCAGTCTGTGGCATTTATTAAATTAAAATGAGCCCCAAACTCGCAGACACAAAAACTGGCAGATGATTAACAAAAAGCCAACAAAGCGCGGCCAATAGCAACAAAAAATTTGTCCAAAAAGGTAAATTTAAATTTCGTGTGTTCGGAAAACACAAGCAAAATACATACAAATATCGAATCAAAAATAAATCGAAAGAAAAGAAATTTTGAAAATATTTTTAGCTGCTTTCTGGGAATTTAAAGCGCATCGAAAGCGAAGACAATTTAATGGCCGAAATTTAAGGAAAATGCTTGAAATTTAAACTGACGCAAAATGGCGGAAAAGGCGGCATGGCATGCAAATTAAAAAGTATTGCATTTAAATGGAATTAAACAAATACGTTTCGAGTTAATTGAAAATATTATATTTATAAGCTCGAGTGGAATGTACAAGTAGAAGAGAATATACTCGCAGTAATCCTTGAATTGGCCCAAATGAACTATCTGATTCCCGCTACTCGGCCATTTAATTAAATTGCTGGGGGACAAGGACTTGGCCAACTTCGCTAACTGAATTTCGGGCTCAAAGAAACAAAAGTCTTTTGGAGTTTGGGCCAAAAGTTACTCAAAAATACGAAAATAAATTGCGTGCTGATGGCTCATTTAATTTAATGAGCGGCGTGCAACTTGTCTAAATGATTTTTCCTCTACTTTACAACACATTTTTTCTTCACATTTTCGTCTGTACACTTTTTCCGTTTGTCGCTCGTTTTTTCTTGTTTTTCGCCTCTATATAGATGGAGATGGATATCCCCGAAAAAGAGTTCACTACGAACAAAAGCAGTAATTCCATTTTATTCGATGAATATTAGCAAAACACTTTGACTTAATGTTTGTGGAAATTACGGCAAACGCAAGCAGGCAGCGGCGATATTTAAAAAACTTTTAAGCGTAAATGCAAAAAGAAATGAAACTAATGAAAACACTTTCAACGGCAGCAGCCAGCAGCCAGCAACCTCGTCAAACTTGGCAACTGTGTGGTGCTGGTAGTAAGCCAGAAAGGCCAGCAAAAAATAACTTAAATAATAATACTACTCTATAGGCTATAGGCTATAACAACAAAGGCAACAACTATATAGCACCAGCAGGCACCGTCGACCCGAGAATCAGGCACGCAATTCGATCATTAAACATGAAGCTCTTTAGCACACGGAAAACAACATCGGTGGAAAGTGGGAGAAGTGGAGGCCCCATATAGAGTGGCATGACCCCCTGGTCCCTGGCCCCTGGCCCCCTCTGGCCCCCTCTGCCCCCCTCTGCGCACCCCTTGCAGAAATATGCATATGTAATTTGTTTATAAATATTCCTCTCAGCCCGACGCTTCCTACTCGCTCAATTTCGCTGGCATGTGAAGCGTCTGCCGAGCGGATTCTCAACCGAAAGCCAAGATGTATCTGAAATCTCCAGATAAACGGGGCAACGGCGGAGAGGGGGGGAAGGGAAAGGGGGCTAAGGAGCCCTCCTCTGCTGGAGCCCATGAGTCATGCGGGGAAGCTGGGAAGACTGGAGAATTGCTCACTTAATTAGAAAAGAATTCGCCACGAAGGTTGGTCGCTGCCAAAGATTAAACTACTGCATTATGATAAGGAGCAGCGGGAAAAAAATATTACGTATACTCGGCTGACGAATTTGTTTTGCAGCGGATAAGGGAAAGGGAAATTCCACAACCAATTCAATTCATTGTTGTTAATGGAATGACTTCAGAATTCGGTCAACTTTAACGAAATCTATATTGTAATCGCCTATAACTATTTGAACTATAACTGAGGTCTCCAGCACGTGTTACATCCTGACATTTACTGAATAAATTGAAACATATTTTCATGGAAAAAATTGGTTGTAGTTTCCAGATAAGTCGAATTGTAAACCACGGAATCGACTGCGGCATTTTCCGCTGCTACGCTCGCCTTGATCTTTTCTATTTTGATTTTGATTTGGATTTGGATTTTTATTTTGATTTTCTAAAAGTCTAAAGCGAACGAGAAATACTGCAAAAAATAGCTGAACAATCGCAGTGGGAGAGTCGAGAGTCGAGCACACGATAGACGAATTATATTTTATGCCACAAATTACGCTGCGGTTAACCTTTAAATTAAAATAACACCAAAACAATTTTTGTGCTGCATTTCGCAGGCGTTTGAAATGGCACACGAACTGAAAAATGCTGGGAAAACTGGGGGAGGCGCTGGGGGAAATTGCAGCAGCTGCAATGCACATTTTTATACAAATACAAATTGCAATTGCACATTTTTTTGCACATTTTACACGGCCAGTCTCTCTCTCTTTCTCTTACTGTCCTCCTCACTTTTGCTCTCCGTTTCGATGGCATAAAATAATCAAATTAAATATATATAAAAATGCATGTGACGTTGGGTTGGGAGAACAACCCGCGAAAATTGCTTCCCGCCATTTTTCGCAAATTATAGCAGTGCAAAGTCATGGAAAATGGTACAAATAAAATTGTAAATAATAAAACCGCGAAGCGGCAGAAACTGAATGGATCGCTTTTGGGCCGCTGGCAATGTGCAAAATGTGCAATAAAATTATATGCATCAAATGCACACAGACAGACTGAATACCCGTATATATCCATATCCACATCCACATCCACAAACTCGTATATCTTCGCCCCGAGTGAGTCGAAAAATTCATTTGATGGAATTGAAATGGCGCGATTCGGGAAAAGAGCCGCAGGAGAATTGCGAAAAAGGGGATTCAAAGAGGTAAATTCGGCACAGAATCGGGTATTAAACCACAGGCGTAAATTTATTCGCCAGTAACAGAGCACACTCGAAAATTCCCGCGGGCATTTCTTTCCTTTTTCCTTTTTCCCATTTCCATTTTTATTTTTTAATGCTTCCAAAGAGCGTGGCCCACCTTTTGGTAACACACACGCACACACACACACACACACTTGCTAATTGGTAGCACACACACTCAGGCAAACAGCCATGTTTGAGGTCTCTGTGCTCCGTTAAATAAAAATCAAGTTCACTTCGCATGTCCATGATAATCAATTGATAAAGTCTAACTGCGATTTGGTAATAATATATTTTTGAAGTGCGGGAGGCGGAGACTGCCGGTCACCTGATTAGCATATAATTTACGATCCAGATGGATTGTAAAAATTATTACTCCGTTTAAAAAGCGAGGCGAGAATTTATGCCCTATAAACGTGATGGAAAATGGTGGAAACATCGCTGGCTGTTCAGCGGGGGGCTTTTCGGAGGTGAAGGTCCCAGCCATGTTTATTCAAAAGTCAAATCACCTATTGTGGTGGGAAAATGTAAAGTCTTGTGGAGAAGCTTACAATTTTCCTGACCACTAAGCATTCGCAAATAAGAAAATTATTTACAAGTTTTCTAAACTATTCAGTTGTTTTATGTCATATAATATCTATCGCTATTTCAGTGATCTTTGAGTTCCAACATTTCCCAAATGAAATGGGCTAGCTGCAGACTCAGTTAATTGTATAAACTTGTACCATAAAATGACCCGCATAAATCAAATGTGATTTCTTTCCTGTTCCAAAACACACACACACTCTGAAGCGATTAGTTAAAATTCATTTTGATAGGGTTCCAATATATAAGAACTATTCCCCATTGAATTGATTGAAATGGGTTTAATTGGAGGAATTCTTTTTTGTATATATGTAGATTTCCTCCATGAAGCTGGATTAACTAATATCGAAACATTTGGGTATATTCGTTATAGATGCGCTTGGTTACACTGGTAACATATCTACGATATGAAAACTGTCATAATATCATCACAATGTGAAACTATGAGTGCCGTCGGCACTACTTGACTACTGTACTTGATCGAAAACTGACTAAAACCCCATTTTCTAGGCCGTCGGTACTTGTTTAAGGATAACAACACTCTCGAGGAACCATTCTATATGGATTCCAAAAAGATGGTGGACTTTGGGGGATTTCGGTATCTACTTACCCTGGGCTGAGCCATTAATGCTCTGGGAGCGACGTCTAACCCGATTTGTGCCACTTTTTACAGTAGGAACAACAAATGGGGGCGCAACACACTGACCGACGTCCCGCTCCGCCGCTGCAACTGCTTCGGTCTTAGGGAAGCTCTACTGTAGCTGCCCGCTTGGAGTCCTTTAGTTTTGCTCTTGGCTCTTCCAGTTCTTTTGGTTTTGGATATTATTTTCTGGTATTTTTATATGTTTTGCACTTTTTTCATGTATTTGGAAGCCTTTGCTTTTTGAACGCTTTGCTTCTTGAATTTGCTTTCTTTTTTATTTAACACAGGCACATTTGTTTAGATTTTATGTATTATTATTACGTTTGTATACTTGTTGTATTGTTGATGTGGTTGTTTTTGTTTTTGTTACGCGCGCGTTTGTTGTTTGTTTTCTAGAGCGGGAGATCTGTTTTTGAATGTTTTTTTACTTGTGTGTTTGTTATAATAATTATTTACATAGCATTTGTTTGGTTTATAAAAATCGTATACAATTTGTTGTTGGTTGCCGTTGCAGTTGCTGTTGTTGTTCTTGGTATACTCGTGTATTGTAGTAGTTGTTGCAACATCATTTGTTACTGGGTTGCATTTGTTGTTGTCATAAATCCATGGCGTTTTCCCCTTTCCTCTCTCTTTCTGCGAGTTTCCTTGCCTTTTCCTTGGTTATTTTTCTAGTAGTAGTTGTGGTTGCTTTTAATTTTTATTTGTTTGTCGTATACTCTTTTTGCTTTTTTCGTATAATATGCGCACTATTTATCACAGCTGCTTCTACATACTACGTTACTAGAGATGAACAAATTATATTGTTAATATATAATGCAATATATTGTGTGGTGTTTTTGCGACGGCAAATTGCGTGTTTCTTGGTTTTTGCGGGGGGATCGGCGGGATCCCCTCGTTGAAAGAAATTCCCTCCGCGGCCCACGAATAACAGTATTTATTTGGGCCTTCAATTTGTGAAACGAAGAACTTTTCGATTGTGATTGAAAAACACACTTAAAAACGTGATTGTTTTGTTCGCGCGATGGAAAAACGCGCGCGATTTCCAAAGTGTTTCTTGTGTTGTTTATTTGTTGATTGATGGCAAAACGCGTGGTTAACGGGCAATAATAATAATCATAATAATAATAAACTTCACCGACGGCAACGCTTTTTCGCTTTTCTTCTCTTTTTTATTCGAACGCAACGCAACACAGACACACGTCGTACGCGCTTCGCAGTCAAAAATACACTGTGCGGATGAAAGATATTTCATCGAAAAACCAACCCGCCTGATACGTTTGGATTTACGCTACAGTCGGACGTGTTTCCACTCCTAACATCGCTGTTAACTAACAGCGAAGAGAGCGCTGAGCGGCAAGCAACAGCAAAGTACACGGGTGCAAGCGGTGCGGCATGATTGTCAATCATGCAGCTGCCCCGCTCTGTTCAGATGCAACAATTGTGCCATTAACTCGCTCATGGCCATAACTCAGCGAGTGCAAGCGAGAGGAATATATGGTTTATGCGCACGCTCCGGCGAATTGCTGGCGGCGAGAGAGCGCAGGCGCTCTCGCATCCTGGGCGACGATGACTGATTTGTTGGTACGCCTCTTCTGTCATGCACACACTTGTCATTCACATGCATATACCGTACCGTACAGCGGTGCTCTATCTCTTTCTCTTTCTCAGTTTTCGCCTCTTTTTGCGCAATGTTCGCCGCGTTTGAAATTTATTTGGCTTTGGCCAAAAGGAGACGGCTTATGGGTTTTTCGCCCCTCTGCCGGCGTCAGCGTCGAAAATCAGCAAAAACCAATCCCATTTGTTATTTTCGCTTGAGTGAGTGGCAGTTGGCAGCTTGGCTCTCTTTCGCCGCACCTTTACAGGTTGAAAGGCAGCGAGAAAGCTTCAGTTGTCCATCAGCTTCAGCTTTCGCTCACTTTTCGCTCTCTTTTGGCACACTCGGGCCCCCCACACACACACTCGCACACACACACTTTTGCGCGAATAGGCAACGCCTTCGAAGAAAAGCGGCAAAAAAGAGAAGAAACTGTAAGGAGAAGAAGAAGAAACGGCGACGACGAAAACAAACTTTTCGCTGCAGTTCCTTTATTGCGTTCTTTTTTGCATGTAACGGTGATCTGGCCACTTTGGCAGGATATGCGATCCTGACAACAACAAACAGCTGTTCGGGCCTCTCTCTTTCGCTTACTTCTTGAGGAACAACAACAAATGGCACGGCGATAAATTGTCGAAAACATTCACTGAAAATTGCATATTCTGCAGGTCATTCCGCGCTCCTGTCTGGCGAACCTACTTTTATTGGTTTTTTAAATACCCTGTAACGCCAAACGGTGTTTCATCTCAAAAAATATTGAAAATTGAAAAACATGTTTTAATATTATTTGAACTACTTTTTTCATCACACGCATCGTTTGGATTGCCAACATTGTGTTAAACAAGCGAACTCAAATAATGTATTCCCATTTGTTTTCACCAATAACCACTCCTGATCCCCGCATATCCCCAAAATCCAGGGTATGCCAATACTCGTATTCAGCTCGAAATCCTGTCTATTGTTGCTGTTATTGTTACTGTCGTGTCGTCGTCCTCGTGGCAGTTTAAAAAGCAGTTAACACATATTCCCAGGCCATTTTTCACCAGCGTATTTTTGGCTTGGCGCTGCAGTTGCCATTATGCCGAAAGAGACGGGGATACTGGCGAGCGAGAGAGACGGTGCGATTTGGCCGGCGTTTTTAGGAAAATGAAAAATAGCCTTGTTTGTTTTCCGACGCTCGCCAAAAGGATTTCCCGTGTCTGTTTTCGCTGGTCAAAAAGATGATGTTGCACTTAATCTGGCTGCCATTTCATCCCGGAATCCCAAACCCCCAAAATCTTGGGAACTATGCATGATATAGGTGTTCTGTTTCTGCGACTTGTCAACACTTTGACAAATTTATGAGACTTTGATTGATTTGCGGCTGCTTTTTCCTTTTTTTCGTTTCGGGACTCGCTTTTTTTTGGTTTTTTTCAGCTGGCCAACTTTGGCGCTTCTGCTCGGCCCAAAAGTCGAGTAATTTATGTGAAACAAAAATCACATAAAATCGAATCAATTAAGTGCAATAAATTAGGCAAACGCTAAGTGTGGGAACTTCTCGGACTTTTGAGTCACCAAATTAAATCCGCAAAGCTGCAGATCGATCGACGCGGTAGTAAAGTTCAAGGATCCCAACGAAATTCTAATCAAATCAAGTAAATTTTGTTGAGAAAATTCGAGCATTTCTCGGAAGTGATAGTCGTGAACTAGAATTTACTTAGTTCGCAGAATTTGGCTGAGTGGCAAGTTGCTTTCTGATGAAGATGATGATAAGAATGTAAATAAAATACTTTAATAATAATGAGATTTAAATGAACTTAGGTATATTTTACTATGAGGGACTATAAATCTTGGGAATCTGAAAGTTGTTCCTAAGAGCCTTAGACAGCTGCAGAAAAGCTCAAGAATTTCCCAAATGAAACAGGAATTTAATTTAATATTTAGAACTTTGCCAAATTGAAGGGACCATGAAATTTAAATCACCCAAAAAAGGAAAATAATCAAGAGGCGAGCAGAGCGAAGGAGAGGGGTTGGGAGAAAGAGGGGCAGGGAGCGAATTTAGGGGGCTGGGTCTCCACCCAGCAAGTGAGCAAAAAAAAAAAAACAAATGAAAGAAGAAAAGCCGAAAAGGAACCGACTCGGGAAAACCTCAAGGAAAATTGCATTTGGAAACTTCCAATCCCAGACGAGCGAAAGAGAGGGAAAGCTCACCCATACACGGGCACTCACACCAATGGGGGGGCCAGCCAATATGATTTAAACACTCACGCACACACACACACACTTGCGAACACCTACAGTGATGTTAACGCCGGCAGCGCAGTCGGCGTCGCTGTCGACGTCGGCAGAGAAGTGTGTGTTGTGTGCATGACAATTCATCTCTTTCTTATAAACGCAATTTATCAAACGCAAACGACGAGCGACAGCAAAAGATGAAGACGACGACACGATATCAACTTGATGTGGCGCCATCTCGCTCGCTCCCGCTCACTCACTCAAGTAAGAACCGAAACAGAAAGCCAAAAACAAAAAAAATGGCACATGAAGAAAAATAGGAGTTGCCGTCGGCGCTCTTCTTCTTCTTCGCCGTCGCTGCGAAATGCGAACAAAAAACAGAGAACACACAGAAACAGCAACAAAGTGACTGAAACCGCCATAATCTTGACAGACAAGTGCACGCGCTCTTTTCGCCGCGCTTTTAATGGTTTGTTTTTGTCTGAATTCGCCGAACAGCGAGGGAGAGAGCGCCGAGCGAGATGGCCTGCGTTGCATTGCGTTGGAGCGAGAGGCACTAAGTGTTTTATGGCAACGCGTTTTACAGCTGTTTCACAGTTGTGCAGCCACTGCTAGACTAGGCATGTTACACGGTTTGAGAGTCACTGGAGTTTTAGGATCTTCAATATTTTGAGTTTTATTTATAACTTAAATAGTCATTCAAGTTGCGATTTGCTTTTATAATTTTTAAGTTATAATTATTCTGTTGAACGTTTTCGAACAGATCATTTTAGTCTGTATATTCTTTTCATTGCATATTTAGGATTGTTTATATTTGATTGTTCTTTATTCATATTTTTAGTTTTTTGCACACATATTTTTTATTTTAATGTATTAATTAATTATTTCTGTTAACGAACGCGCGAATTCTGTTGGTGATTCCGTTTAAGACTTACAATTCATTTATTCTAGGTCTTAAAATTATACGATTCTTCTAAAATCTGAGGTTCTGTCAAAAGGAGCTGTATTTTGAACGCGGAATTTACCAGTTTACCTGAATAGTTACCTGTTTTGGCAGTTCCTTGATCTTCCTTGAATCTTCCGTTTGCCTACTAATTTTTTTGTGACTTTCAACGCTTGAGAAGGCCCATAAAAGGCTTAGGACACTTGTACATAAATCTACCTGATCTATTGCGACTCACACCACATGCACAGAAAGAAACAAGGACATTCCTCTGATTTTTATTACTTTAAGATAGCCAAATTAGGCAACATTTAAAATGCACTTGCTTGATCTACAAAACGAATATCTTATTTTGTTCTGTGCAGCAAAGGTCCTTCGAGTTTTGTTTGATTTTCCTCCAGTCATCATTCAGCCTACTTTAACTGACCCAAAGAAAAATCGATGGCAAATTTGCTGGTTAAGCAAATGTGCCGGGTCATCCAGGACGATGTCCTTTTGGCATTTTCGACTGTTTCGCTCTGCTTTTGACAGCCGCCGACAAAAGTGTCAATTCCATTTCGGCCAGCCGACGGGCCTGTCAACAAGCGTGGTCTACACACGCCCACCGCCCACGCCCCCAGGCCCACTGCCACCCCGCTAATCTCAAGGACACCGACGGGATCCCGATGTATTTTGTTTAAATTTAGGTTGTCTCCTGCGGTGCCATATTTTTGTATACAGTGGATGGGTTCAAAGGGTAAATATAACAATATTTAGGCGGTATTAGGCCAATTTAGAATAAAGAAATAGTTGGTTGATTTTTTACTACTTCGATTTAAATATGTTTTAATTTACTTGACACCTATCATCTACTGTATACATATAAATATTGTAACATTTATCAGGCTCGAAAAGTTTTTCCACAAAGTTAATTTCCAAGGGACTTAGGGTTGCTAACTCACTTACCTGATCCGGGATTTTGATCATACTTTACCTGCAATGAAAAGGGGAAAATTGAGTTAGAAAAAGGCAGTTAGAAAGATAGCCCGCGCTGAAGTTGAGGAAAAGTCAGGAGGAAAAACATTGGGATTGGGAAATGCAAATGAGGAAGGAAGGCAATGGGGATTAAGATGCACCGAGTCTTTTGTCCATCCGAATGTGATTGTGACCACATGTGTTGTGCACCCCTCCACACAAATCCTCCAGACGACAAACTACAAACTACAGAATCCAAAACACAAAATTCAATATACAAAATACAAAATCGAAAATGAGAAATCCTCATCCCGCTCCCAAGTGACTCATTCCTCTCAGGAGCGGTGATCTTTTCCTGGCACATTTGTCGGGAAATGTTTTTCTTCTGGCTGCCTTTTGATTGATTGCCCTGGAAAACCACTTGAAACTGTCAAGGGCGCAATCGGCGGGCGGGGGTGCCGTTTTCCAGGGGAGTGAGCCCATCGAAATGAAGTGAAAATCACTTTTACGCAGATGGAGGAAATCGTTTTCCTATGAAAAACTACTTAGTCCGAATGGAGGCGGGCAGCAAGAAGATGCATCATGTTAATAAC